TGGGTTCTTGTTCTCACTTTGTGCATCTTATCCAATAACGGATTCATGTAAGATATAGAAAAAAAGTCCTTGAAGCAGAGACTGGTATCCCAATCTCTTCCACTGTGCCCATACCACTAGGCTGATAGTACTTTGGTGCTCTTTCTCTTTGGCTCGATGAATATTTAGTTCTTCCATAAGAAGTGCAACAGTCTTTAATGGAAGGGATTAAAGGGAGTGCTCTTTCCTGTTCCCAGAAGACCATTTAGCCTGGGGGTGAGGATGCTCCTCTAAGGGATGTGCGTTAAAATCTCGTGAAGGGGAATTTTACTCAGGTCTCTCATCCTGTTTGAATAACTTCACCACTAAGCTTCTGGCTGATGAGATGGCACCAGGTAGGGTAGCAGTAGCAGCAACATCACCATTTTGTGAGAGAGGCTAATGTACATGCTCATCTCCAAGAGAGGAGAAATCCTGATCCCAATAATGAAGTAGGGCCTTTGCTCCATCAAGTGAGTGGAAAGACTAGCAGGCATTCAGGGCAGAGTCTTATGATACTTACATCCCTTCATCTGCAAGGATGAGAGGGAGGAGACACTTTACTGAATGCTGTACCACTCTCAGGCAAATTATCATAAGAGGTGTGGTGGGAAGTACACCTGACTAATATGTGTGGCCAATTATTTTCCCCAAATTTCTGACCACATATCACAGGAAAGGTAATATGTTAGCCCCACCTACAAATATTTTTTTCTGGCTACTAGTGCAATTGGTGGTTTGGACTTGCCTCCTTCTTTTTGAATGATATGGGGAGGGGGCAGAAGCTTCCTTTTATATTTTTAGTCTGTGCAATCATGTTAATTTGCCTACTGGCTCTTCAAAAACTTCTGAGATAATAATGCAACCTGGAGACTGGACAAAAGAGGGGAGAGGGAGATCAGAGAGTAAAAGGAATGAAATAAAGATGGAATGTGTTGAAAGTGAATCAGAAGAAAGAAGTGCTGAACTTTCAGAAAGTACAGATAAGATCTGATAATTTATTATTGTTTTTATTGTTATTGTTATTCATCTGCCATATCAATTCACCTCATTTTTAAGTGTTGAGAAATCAAAATTGCAATTTGTAGTTGAAAATAATTATTCTTATATTTTTGGACCCATATATGACTTCAGGCAAAAATCCTGCTGCTCATACATCTGGAAGGGCTACTTTTAGGATTGTTTGAAGACCCAGTAATTGGATTCTTTCAAGATATGATTTTCAAATGAAGGCGCAAAATGCCATTTCAATGAAAGGTGAGTTCAAAATTGCACTTGCAAAAACAGGAGGCTGGTATTAAAAACCTGGCAGCTAGCTTGTGTAACTGAAATATTGGTCATTAGAAAATCATTAGTAATCCTAAACTACTCAGATAAACCACTATTTATCATCAGGGCTAGGAACAGAAGATATACATAAATTGGTATAAGTGATCAGAAACTGTTTTAAACCTGCAACAGAACAGAAGTTCAATGCCCATAAAGCTGTTTCAAAATGGCCAAACCTGGTTTAAGATAAACCTTGACGGATGCATTATCAGACTTAACTGATTTAGCTTAAACCGGTCTGTGAAATTATGTCAGAGATCTCCTGACTCAAATTATGTCCCAGTTCCCTAGCATACCAGGATTCATTGATGCCTCCCACTAACCTCCCTCACAGAGTAGATAGGCTAGCCTCAGTTGTGCTGTCTCCTTCGGCTGAGCCATGGATGTTAGGGGCAGGGGAGACCTCAGTAGGTCATTGAGTCTGACCCCTGGCCCTGGGCAGGAAAGAGCACTGGGATCAGACAACCCTAGCTAGGTGCTTGTCCAGTCTCCTCTTGAAGACCCCCAGGATAGGGGAAAGCACCACCTCCCTTGAAAGCCCATTCCAGATTCTGGCAACCCTTACTGGGAAGAAGTTCTTTCTAATGTCCAACCTAAATCTGCTTTCCATCATTTTGTGGCCATTGTTCCTAGTTACTCCAGGGGGTGCCCAAATAAATAGAACATCTCCTATTCCCTGCTGTCCTCCCCTGATGAATTTATAGGCAGGCACAAGATCACCTCTCAGCCTTCTTTTGCAAAGGCTGAAGAGATCTAGATCCCTCAGTCTCTCCTTGTAGGACCTTGCCATATGAGTGGCCCTCCTCTGAACCCTCTCAAGATCCTTCACATCCCCCTTGAAGCATGCCACCCAAAACTGGATGCAGAACTCCAACTGCGGCCTGACCAGTGCTGCGTAGAGGGAAAACATCACCTCCCTGGACCTGTTCATCATGCATCTGCTAATGCATGATAAAGTGTGGTTAGCCTTGTAGATCACTTTATCACACTGATGACTCATGTTCATCTTGTCAACTATGACTCCGAGATCCCTTTCCACTGCTGCACTGCTGAGAAAGTCACCACTCAGCCCTTAAGTGTTGGTGGTTCTTTTTTCCCAGGTGCAGCACTTTGCACTTACCTTTGTTGAACTGCATCCTATTTTGTTCTGCCCATTGTTCCAACCTGTCCAGATCCACCTGGATCCATTTCCTACTCTCTGATGTGTTAACTTTGTCCTATAATTTGGTATCCTCTATGAATTTGGACAGGGTGCTCTCTACACCCTCATCCAAGTCAATGATAAAGACAAAGCATAACACCGGTCCAAGGACCGGGTCTTGAGGGACTCTATTGCCCACATCTTTCAAGGTCTATATCAACCCATCCACCACCCCTCTCTGGGTGCTATCCCTAAGCCAATTTGGTACCCACCTGACCGTGTAATCATCTACATCATAGCCTGTCAGGTTTTTTATGAGAACAGAATGAGATACCATATTGAAGGCCTTTTTAAAGTCTAGGTAGATGACATCTACCTTGACTTCTGCATCTAAGCATTTTGTGACCTGGTCATAAAAAGAAACAAGGTTAGTCAGGCAGGATCTACCTTCAATGAACCAGTGCTGATTTCCTTTCAGCATTATTTTCCCTGCTGGGCTCCCACAAATGTGATTCTTAATGATTTTTTCCAGAGTTTTTCCAAAGATAGAGGTGAGAATAACTCGCCTATGGTTTCCCGGTTCCTCCCTCCTCCCCTTGTTGAAAATAGGGGCCACACTGGGCCTTTTCCAGTCCTTTGGGACCTGACCAGAGCATCATGAGTGCTCAAATAGCTGTGCCAGTGGTTCTGCTATGACACTAGCCAATTCCTTCAGCACCCTTGGATGGAGTTCATCTGGGCCCACTGATTTGAACACATCCAGACCCTCCAAGTCCCCCTTTACTAAGTCTGCATTAACAGTTGGAAGGCTGGTGTCCCTTGTGTGTCTATCTATGATCCAATTAGGAGATTTGTCTTGGTCTGTGTCTAGGCATACAGATGCAAAAAACTCATTGAGGAGTTCAGCTTTGTCCCCTCTCTCTGTCTCCAATTGCCCTAGTTTGTCCTGTAGAGGTCCTATGCTACCCTGCACCTTCCTTTTGCTCCCTTTATACATGAAGAAGGACTTTTTATCCTTTTTGAGCTTGGACCAGCACCACTCCACAGAGCTGAGGCAGCAATGCCTCTGCTCCCCAGTCTTGTCCTGCTTGTACCTGTTAGACTTGTGAGGCAGTGGGGGAGCGGGTGGTGGTGGGGGAGGCTGGGGAACAGAGTCCTCAAGTGCTGGTCTGTGATGGTTGCCCTCCACCCTCCCAGGACAGGCTGGCATGAGTTACTGACCTGCTGGGTGGAGGAGGAAAGGAGACCCTTCTCCTTGGTCCATCCCTGAGCTGGGTGTCTGTCTATGTGGGGGGAACCCAGCCTCTGGGTGGGGTTCCCAGCTAGCTCAGGATCCCCCCCATCTCTGGCCTGTCCAGGTGCAGGAGGGTGATTCACCACCTCTCACCTCATGGCCAGGCCAGTGTGAGTTACTGACATGCAAGGGGAGGAGGGAGTAAAGCTCTCCACCCAAGTCTCAACCCCCTGCCCTCCCCCCAAGCTGGGGTCTTCCCAGCTAGGGAAGCCAGGTCTTGGCGGAGTTTTCCCCATGCCTGCCCAGCTGGGCTAGTTCCATAGAAAGAAGGGTTGGGTCATGCTGGCTGGCAGAAGCCCGTCAGGATGCCCACCACAGTTGCTGTGCTGTTGTCAATTTCTGCTGGCACTGGACTCTGGCAGAATGCACTGGGAGGTTTGCACTGAGCAGCAGGGATGGGAGCACTTTACAGAGAGATGAATTGGGCCCCACCACCTGGCTCAAGCTCCCCAAGCCACTCCCCAAGCCATTTGTTTTTCTGGCCTATTCTGGTGCCAGGCTGTGGGGCATGATCATTCTCTGTATGGAGTGCTCCCTCTATGGAGTGTTTGCTGGAGCCTGGCACCAGAAGCAGCTGAAAAGACACACTGGGTGGCCCAGGGAACCTGCACTGATTGGTGGGGATTAATCCTTATCTCTATGAAGTACACCTGTCCCCACTGCCCAGTGGAACCCCCAGGCCACCTGGTGCATCCTGCTAAAGTCTGGCACCAGAGGCAGCCAGTTGACAAGAAATGCTGGGTGGTCCAGGGGAATTGTGCTGGGCTGCAGGGCCCAATCCTTCTTTATATGGAGCTGGCCCATTGGGTGGGGATGGGGGAAACCCCACCTGCCAGGGCCTGTCTGGGAAGATCCCAGCTCAGGGGGGCTGAGATTAGGGTGTAGGGCTTCATTCTCTTCTCCCACCTATGCATCAGAGACTCTCACTGGCTACATAGAGGGGGAATCACTCCCTTCTCCCACAACTGGGAAGACCAGGGCTCAGAGGGATCCTCAGTGTGGGGGTCTCCACAACATGGGAAGACACTGGTCTCAGGACCAGCCCTGGGAGGAAAGACCCCATTCCCCTTCTTCCCTGTGCATCAGTGGCTCACACCAGGCCAACCCCATGGGAAGGGGGGCGGAATTATCCTAGCTCCCCGAGCAGCTGGGCTGACCAGGGCTGGGGGGATCCCAGGTCACCCTTGGGAGAGACATGGGTCCCACCCCCATACCTAGACACCTGGTTCAGGGGGCTGGTACCAAGAGGGAGCTCTTTGGTGGCATGTGCTGGGCTGCCACTTAGGTATGGGATCTGATTGCCTGGGCTGGGCTGGGAAGGCTGGGAAGTGTGCTCTAGTGCCCGCTGCCTCCTGGGCTGGGTCAGTGCAGGCCTTTGCTTGTCTTTTTCCAAGTGAAATTGAACATCAGTTCAGTTTATTATCAGTTCAATCTATGAAGCTTAGAGAAACCTGCAAAGGTTGAATTGATTCTGCCTCAGGCTTTTTGACTGTCTGTACTTAGCTCACAAGTCCAGTACTATGAAACATTAGAATGTAAGAGTGACAAGTTTGTTCCCTTATTGTCATCACAGCTGGGAAATAAATACTGAAGTAATAAGAGATCACCAAATTATGTGATGGAAATGGAAAATAAAACCAAGAAAAATGCTTCATCTTCAGAGCAGAGTTTGCTGCATTCAAGAAAAAAAACCCATTCATTAGGATTTCAGAGAACAGATGACTTTGTAGGAGGCTTGCTTTTTATTTGGCACAATATGATGCTTTTTCTTAAGAAGTGATTGCTGAGAAGCATTGTTTAATGTTCATTCAGCTAATGAATAATTGTGTAAGGGCCACCCATTCAATGTTTCAAACCAATGCACAGATGATCTGAAATGTGAAATTTCATAACAATTCAGAGATGCTAATTAAAGTATTATCACCATCTACCAATTTCTTTTATGGGTTAGCTGTGATATATGTTTTTTAGAGAAAGTGAACATAAAAACAAGTATTCTCAGCTAATATAGAACTAATGCTAAGGAACAGCTGTTCTTTTACCTTATTCATCCACTCCAGTTTCAAGAACCATGCCTTTAATAGTTGAACACCTGTCTCTTATTATATTTAATAGAAATTGTTAATTTCAGTTCATTCCCAATCCCTATTCTGTTTTTTTTAAATGGTTTATTTCTCTAATGCACATTTACATGGTCTATTACATTAATTTCTTTATCTAATCTTGAGAACCCTAAAAATTATTAGGAAACTAATTGTGCAGGGATGGAATGTTTCTCAGTTATAGCCTAACTCACTTAAATGTAACTACTTGTACTCACTTGCCGACACCAGGGAAAATGAAAAAGGTTTTCCTAGAATTAAGAGTTTAATTACTTTCACAGTGTTAATTATAGATCATTATGCAGGAAGATGAGACTGTGTTCCTCAAACTAATGCCTAGTAGGGCTGTGAGAAACAGCATCATTTTATTTTGGCTTCTGTATCACTGTTTTGATGGGACAGTGTTTCATTTTGATGTTTAGTTTAATTTCAAAGCACTGTTCCATTTTGTTTCATCGAAACTGTTTCACTATTTTTACGCTGTTTTGACATTTCACCCATAGGCTATAATGGGGAATCACAAAACTGCCTATAACATTGTCATTTCTTGCCTGATTCAAATGAAAACAGCAGGAATGGTAGCCCCTGCTGAGACCACAAAGTCTGTCAAGTTTCAAGGAGATAGGTGCAGGGATTTCTGGGAAACTGTATCTCAAACGCCTGACAAGCAAAACTCGTGTCACTTGTAAGTATAAAGGCACAGGGGGATGAAAACAGAAGGCATGGTAGCCCCTTCTGAGGTTATAAAGCCTTCCAGGTTTCAAGGAGATAGGTACAGGGTTTCTGGGAAACTACATCTCAAGCTGCTTACAAGCAAAACTCGTGACGTGTGACTTTGTGTGTGTGTTAAGGCATGCTGTCACTGGCACTGGGGCCTCTATATAACATCGTAGTGGGCCCCTATGAGGTCTCCTGTTCCCCTACAGCCTCATCTCACTCCAGAACTGTAAATAACAACAGGTAAGTAAGCAGTACAGTAGCACCAGAGCATCTCAGGCAGCCAACCTGTGGCAGAGCCTTTCTTTCCTTTCCTGCAGGAGCTTCTTCTCCAGCTGCTTCCAGAGAACTCTCCCTGCCAGCCTCAGCCCAGGGACTTAGATGTGCCCAGGGCCCTGCATCCTTCCAGTCAGCTGACCAGTGACAGGCACTAGGGGTGTAAGTTGCAGCCATGTGGTCTAAGGACATGGCATTGACAGACAAGTTTCTATGGGTCAGTGTGGTATCTTTTAGTAGACCAACTGAATAATTGGAGAAATATATCTTAGCAACCTTTTAGGTTGAAGAACCCTTCATCAGGCTGTGGAATCACCTTCAGTTGGTGTGTGTGTGCACTGTTCCTGGATGGAAGGAATAGTAAAGAAGCCAGAGACTGGCATACAATGCAGGCAAGAAAGCCAATCAGTGAAAATGGAAATGGAGGTGCAAGGGGGTGAGGGACAGGCTAAGGTGGGGGGAGGAGAGGTGTCCCAGCTGCCTGCGGAGGTTTCAGGATTGATTGAGAGTGTGGTCGGGGGATAGAAAGGTAAGAAAAGTTTATTGACTTAACAAAAACATGACTACGTTTAGTATACCAAGACAGATAATGACAGACAATAATAATTGATGTCAGCAACTCTGACATCAGGCAGTCACCTCTGATGCCTGATGTACAACAAGTTTTTCTTTCCACAAAGCTTTGCGAAGTCAGGTGTCCCCAGTCAGTGGTGTCCGAGAGGTACCAGGAAGGACCCTGGTATTCAGTCCTTGGGCTTCTCGAGATGCACAGGCCCACTGATCCAAGTCAACAGCTAATTACTCCCTTTCACAGAGATGTATCTTCCTTCTGAATTATTTCCATGTGTGCCAGCCAATTTATAATTTCTGAGCTGTGCTGATAAGTTACAGCCATTCAGCTTCTTTTTACTTCAACTGTCCTTAGACTGACCAATAGCAGTACAAGCCTTGCATTCCTTTGATAATGCTAATTTTAACTATGCCACAGGGCCTTACTACTTAAAGGCTTTGCTAAATTTACTAGGCCTTCCTTTATACAAGGCCTTACCACATCTTAAACTTTAATTAGGCTCTTAGCAACAACATACAGCTTAATATTTGAGCAAATAACAGAAAAACACTTGGTCTAATCTTCATAGAGCCTTCAGCAAGCATCTTTATCACATAGACATACTTTTCAGCTGTCACATTCCACTCCTTGCTTGCTTAAGCACTATGATAGCTACAGTTCAGATGCTAAAGCTGCATGTGCTACATTAGGGAATGGGGAGGGATCTTTAAATTTAACTTGCATAGCATGAACAGATTTATGACAACAATGGTTAAAATACCATTTAGCTGTTGCCACCAGGGCAATGCAGAATACTATGACACTTAAGATGGTTAGCCACGTAGTTGAAGTGACACCTGGTGACACACGAATAGTGCAGATCACATTATACCATTTATATGGCTCGGGCACATTGACAGCCAAACTGATGATTCACCCACCCTCTCAGGCAAGGAGAACTAACTGAGTGCTTTGCCAAGCTTTTGCCTCAAGGCTTTGCAGCTTATTTTTTAATTCATTCCAGTTTTCTGACTGTGGCATTTCTACATCTTATACCCATGAAGTGGGTATTGTAAAGTTGAGAGGTATAGTCTCAGAGGAAATTTCTGGCCATTTTAGGGCAATTGTATGGTTACTTAATTGCAGCAGAGCAATGGCTCCACTTTTAGCTTCTAAGCAACACGAATTGCACAAAGTCCAGGTGGTGCCATTTTCATACAGCAAACGACCGGGTCCTTCCCAACAAACACGTTGCCCTATTGTTATATATAACACATTAGGTAACTCATATACACAGGTCATGTTAGGTGGGCTGAGAGGTCAGCTTCTCCACAGGGTCCCTAATCTAATCAAGGTGCTACTGATTTGAACCAAGGGGGATTGTGCCACATACCGAGGGCCATTGGGGGTAACTATTTCCCATATGGGGTGATGCAGATTCCAGTCCTAAAGGCATCCTCCTCCTAGCCCCATGCTTAGCAAATAAGCAGTGGTTCAGTTTCCATCTTTTACCCCCTGCACCAGGAATGAACACTTTCCTTTATCACAGCCTTCCCAAGTGGTAATGCAGGTACTTTGATAGGGGTATCTTTCTTTAATGTTGCAGGCATTCCATGATGCTCTAAACCAGGGGTCCATTTTCTATTTTTAACATTGTTTATTACCAGGGAAAAATGTATATTTAATGATAACTGAACTTGTGCACAAGCAGTACTCCAAGTTTGATTTTTGTCTGCTTTAAAAGCACTGTCTATCATGACCTGGGCAAGACAGGCTGTTTCTAATCCTACATTAGTTAGCAATTTGTCAGTGTGCTTTAAAGTTTTTCCTTTGAGCATGTCTCCCCTAGTGAGCAGCCTGTCTGAGATTGGCTACTCCTTCAGTGTTTTTCTGGGATTTATCTAAGTTCCATACATTCATAGATGAGTTAAGTCCATCCCAAAGATAACCTGGAGCATCTTTTTGTTTGCGGGACTTAACTGTATTTGTGGAATGGAAAATGATTGGCCACTCCTACCTAAGTAACCCTTCAGCTACACGGGCTTCTGCCGAACAGTTTGGAAACATAGCTTGGACATACCATTGTTCTGGTCTGAACAATACTTGGGCAGTAAACAATGAAGCATTTAAGAGGGTTGGGATTTTAACCTGTGACCTCCACCAGGGTGTGGAGTTATACACGGGTTGTGTCGGGATTCCCGTGGGGGAATAGCCAGAGATAGTAGTGAACATCCTGTTCTCTCACAGATCACATTTATCCTTCCTTCCTTGGGAGCCTGTAACCATGCTTCACCTCCAAGAAAGTGAAAGATTTCCAACTGTCACTCATAGGGATGATGCTGTACTGGGTTGATGAAATGGCACTGCCCTGGCAGAATCATAGCACTAATTTGATTTAGGAACCCCACTGGTATAAAAGGATGGGGATAAGTGATGGAGACTTGTGGATACAGCCTCCTTCTGGTTGTATTAAATTGGGTACCATTCCACCACGCTTCTGTATAGGTATGATTCACAAACCATGTAATAACTTTGTTCCAACCTGTAAAGTGCTCTCCCACCTGGTGGGCTTCACACCATTGCTGGAGAGTGTTGTCAGTCATAGGGGCAGATTTTTCCATAAATGCAGTGGCTCAAGAAGCTGAACAGATGCAGAATGCACAATTGGGGACACAAACTCAGGGGCGTTGAGCTCAATGGGGTTTCCCTCAGGAAGTATGTAACAACAAACCCATAAATGAGCAGAGCTACAACAATTACCTCCCCTCCCATAGTTAGTCATTCCTGCCTTCAGGTAAGGACTGTATCCAAGATAATAACTCATGCCATAGGTGCACTGACAGTTACCACCTTGCCAGCCAACTATCTTGTTTCTTTTACTCAGAGACCAGGACTTCATTTTCTCTGGGGTGGCGGGTTTCTTCCAGTATGGATACTGTAGCTGGACAACGTGAAGGCCATCTGAGTGGGTTTCTGGGGGATGCTCTTCAGGGTCAGACCACTCCTTAAAGTCTTCAGGAGCAAGTTCATTAATATCTGGGTAATAAGAAGGATAGTAGACATGCCCTACCCAGGACACACAATAACGCATTAATAAAAAGAGTACATTCATAACAATCCACTACTTTATGGTGCAAGTCAATTTAGACTGATGACAGAGCAGGACTTGTCTTCAGTGGCAGGCTCAATTAGGAATGGTTATGGCTGTATTTGTAGACAGATCCGATCTGTAGGAACAAGACAACAAGGAGCTTGGCTCCTGTTAGATGAATCTGACTTAAATACCCACCGTGTATTATGCATACCTTTTGCTAATAGTATCCCCTTCCATTTATCTCCTTGAGGATGCTTCACTTCTACCCAATCTCCTGCCTGGAGCTTTCTCGCTCTACTGCTGGCTCACGGGGACCACTCAATCCAAAGGCCTGTTGCACAGGGCTACCTCCCGGATGGGGTCGGTTATTGGCCCAATTGATAGCTTGATTCAGGTGCAAGTCTTAGTTCTTAAGAGCCGGGCCTGCAGCCACCACAAATTGCATTTGAGGATGCCATTGGCTCATTCTACCAGTCCATTAGATTGCATAATATGCTGTTTCACAGTCTAGTCATACACAAGATGGTTGCAGAAGTGAAGGCCATTATCACTCTATAGTTCTATAGGTGATGGATACACAGCTAGCAGAGTTTCCAGTGCTGCACAAGTGTCCTGGGCTGTAGCTTTCACTGAGGTGCAGACGAACATTATTCCTGTTGCAACTTCTACAGCTACAAACACATACCGTTGCTTCGGGGAAGTCCAAGGGAGGGGGCCTATGAAATCACATTGCCATACCTGCCACACTACCTTTCCCTCACGTAATGACAACGGGACAGTTGGGGAAGGTTTTAGTTGCATTTTAACCTCATGGCAGGTGAAGCATACATTGACTATTCCTTGTGCTTCTTTTTTAGTTACATGAATGCCCCAAGATGCAGCCAGGCAGGTGGTTCCATCATGCCTGGGGTGCCCGTGTTGTTGATGTAGGCATTCTGTGGCTTGTTCTCCAGGTGTACAGTGGGAGGAGGAATTGGGCAATGATGGATGAGCTGCTTTATTTTCTTCTTCAACATACAAGGTTTCAGCACCTTCTTCTCTTGTTAGCTGATGAACTCATCTATTCCACTTTGTCTCTGGGCCTTCTCCTGCTTTATTCCCATGTGCTGCACTCACATGTCAGATATGTAGAGAAAGCTTATCTTAGGCTAACTTCCATAAGTTCTCCAGTTTCTCGTGGCTCCAAATGTCTTGTTTTTGTCTTTTAAAGTTTTCTTTGTTCCAGGGGATAGCCATTTAGTACATCCTTCTACCACCATTCAGAAGTCGCTATAAATATAAATGGGCTTTACAGGATGTGGACCTTCTACTAACTCCTGCACAGCCACACTGAGCACTGCTTTGAGTTTAGCGTACTGCGCACTTTTTCTGAGGCCTTGTAATACTACTTGCTTGCCATCCCAAATTTGCAAGGTAGCTGTTCTCCAGGCATGACCTTGAGCAGACCCATCTGTAAACCAGACTTCAATATTGGCTGAGGTCTCCATTTCAGGTGAGAAAGGAGGTGCTTCTTTGATGGGTGAAGGTTCACTGCAGCTTATTTGATCAGGATAAACATGAATTGTACTTTCTGTGACTCTTTTAACTAATGCAGGGCGTCCCTTTGGGGTTACTCATTGGACCTGGCTCAAGATGATGATAACTCTCTACCAACGGACCAACTATAAATCCACCTTTGGACCATGGTGTCTTGAGCTCTCCCCGCCAGGTGGTAGCTGGTGGTCTGACAAAGCCATTCCAAGAATAGGTATTGGAGTAGTGATAACTGTGGGTAATTCCCCTCTCAGTGCTTCTGTGGCTTCCAGGGCCACTGTTGCTGCACACAACATCTGTTCTAAGAGAGTATACCCTGCTTCTGCCTCTCTCCAGACTCAGCTCTAGAATCCAAGGGGTTTTCCTTCTGCTTCCAAGGACTCCTTCTGCCACAGGCTCCAGTGTGGTCCTCCTTCCAAGACACCTATATGGAGCCAAAGCTTTTCTTTGGGACATCGTGCTGCTAGGGAGGCATGAACAGTTACTGCTTCTTTAAGGGCTCATAAGGCATATTCATGCTCAGGACCCCATTCTTATTTAGTTCTCTTCTTACATAGGTTATACAAGGGACGAGCTAATACATGAAACTCAGGAACATGCATATGCTAAATATTGAGTGCTCCCAGTAGGGCTTGCAGTTCTTTTACTTTAGTGGGAGTTGGGGTCTCTACTATACTTCGCAGCCCTTCCATTGTTATTATGGGCCCCCCATTCTGCCATTCTATTCCTAGAAATTCACACTGGGCCCTACTCCTTGGATTTTCTGTTCAGACAGCGTGAATCTGAAGGTACATACTTTCAATGATTCAAAGGCCTTGGTGGCAGCCTCTGTCTTGACTGCCCACCATGACATCATCAATATACTGCCACATGTGTACGTTGGGGTACTTTTCTTGGACCTCATGAACTATTGCAGAGAAAACCCTGTGAGCCAGGGTGGGGCTGTGTATCCACCCTGGGGCAGCACAGTGTAGGTATATTGCTGCCCTATCCACATGAAAGCAAATAATGGCCAGTGATTTTCATGGACGGAAATAGCAAAAAACATGTCCTTGATAGCGATGGATCCCATCCATGCAGGCCCATACCACCGGATGCTTTCTGTTAAGGCTGGTAGTGACGGGACAGTGGCCATCAAGGGGTCAGTATTAGCATTCAAAGCTTGAAAGTCAATAGTCAGTCACCACCCTCCATTTGGCTTGCGCACTGGCCACACTGGATTGTTATATGAAGAATGGGTTCGGATAATAGTCCCATCTTCTAACAACTGGCTTATAATACACTGGATAGGTTGGGTGGCCTCGGGGGGAGTTTGATACTAGGGTCTGTGTACTCCTTTCATGGGAGGCAG